AATATTCAATATATTTCAATACATAAATATATGTGTATATATATATATATATATATATATATATATATACAGTCAGGTCCATAAGTATTGGGACATTGACACAATTCTAACATTTTTGGCTCTATACACCAACACAATGGATTTGAAATGAAACGAACAAGATGTGCTTTAACTGCAGACTGTCAGCTTTAATTTCAGGGTATTTACATCCAAATCAGGTGACCAGTGTAGGAATTACAACAGTTTGCATATGTGCCTCCCACTTGTTAAGGGACCAAAAGTAATGGGACAATTGGCTTCTCAGCTATTCCATGGCCAGGTGTGTGTTATTCCCTCATTATCCCAATTACAATGAACAGATAAAAGGTCCAGAGTTCATTTCAAGTGTGCTATTTGCATTTGGAATCTGTTGCTGTCAACTCTCAAGATGAGATCCAAAGAGCTGTCACTATCAGTGAAGCAAGCCATCATTAGGCTGAAAAAACAAAAGAAACCCATCAGAGAGATTGCAAAAACATTAGGCGTTGCCAAAACAACTGTTTGGAACATTCTTAAAAAGAAGGAACGCACCGGTGAGCTCAGCAACACCAAAAGACCCGGAAGACCACGGAAAACAACTGTGGTGGATGACCGAAGAATTCTTTCCCTGGTGAAGAAAACACCCTTCACAACAGTTGGCCAGATCAAGAACACTCTCCAGGAGGTAGTTGTATGTGTGTCAAAGTCAACAATCAAGAGAAGACTTCACCAGAGTGATTACAGAGGGTTCACCACAAGATGTAAACCATTGGTGAGCCTCAAAAAACAGGAAGGCCAGATTAGGGTTTGCCAAACGACATCTAAAAAAGCCTTCACAGTTCTGGAACAACATCCTATGGACAGATGAGACCAAGATCAACTTGTACCAGAGTGATGGGAAGAGAAGAGTATGGAGAAGGAAAGGAACTGCTCATGATCCTAAGCATACCATCTCATCAGTGAAGCATGGTGGTGGTAGTGTTATGGCGTGGGCATGTATGGCTGCCAATGGAACTGGTTCTCTTGTATTTATTGATGATGTGACTGCTGACAAAAGCAGCAGGATGAATTCTGAAGTGTTTCGGGCAATATTATCATATTCAGCCAAATGCTTCAGAACTCATTGGACACTGCTTCACAGTGCAGATGGACAATGACCCAAAGCATACTGCAAATGCAACCAAAGAGTTTTTTAAGGGAAAGAAGTGGAATGTTATGCAATGGCCAAGTCAATCACCTGACCTGAATCCAATTGAGCATGGATTTCACTTGCTGAAGACAAAACTGAAGGGAAAATGCCCCAAGAACAAGCAGGAACTGAAGACAGTTGCAGTAGAGGCCTAGCAGAGCATCACCAGGGATGGAACTCAGCGTCTGGTAATGTCTATGCATTCCAGACTTCAGGCTGTACTTGACTGCAAAGGATTTGTAACCAAGTATTAAAAAATGAAAGTTTGATTTATGATTATTATTCTGTCCCATTACTTTTGGTCCCTTAACAAGTGGTAGGCACATATGCAAACTGTTGTAATTCCTACACCGTTCACCTGATTTGGATGTAAATACCCTCAAATTAAAGCTGACAGTCTGCAGCTAAAGCACATATTGTTTGTTTCATTTCAAATCCATTGTGGTGGTGTATAGAGCCAAAAATGTTAGAATTGTGTCGATGTCCCAATATTTATGGACCTGACTGTATATTACACAGGATTTATATAGCACCAATAGTTTGCTCAGCGCTTTACATTATAATTGGAGACAATACACGAGACAGTACAGTAACAATACGATTCAATACACGAGGGGTTCGAGGGCCCTGCTCCTTGGAGCTTACAATCTAGGAGGGAGGGGATAGTGGTACAGGAGGAAACAACTGTGGGGGATGAAGTGGTAGGAAGAGTAAAGGAGGAGTTCAGTAATTAGCTGAGGGTGGGGTAGGCTTCCCTGAAGAGATAGGTTTTCAGGGTGTGCCTAAAGGTGAGGCGAGTAGGTGAAAGTCTGATGGATTGGGGTAGGGAGTTCCAGAGAATGGGGGTAGCCCTGGAGAAGTTCTGGAGGCGGGCATGGGAGGGAGAGACCAGGGAACTAGAGAGTAGGAGGTCTTGTGAGGAGCGGAGAATACGTTTTGGGTGGTATTTGGATACCAGATCGGTGATGTAGTTTGGGGCAGTATCATGAACAGCTTTGTATGTCAATGTTAGCATTTTAAATTTTATCCGTTGGGCAATCAGAAGCCAGTGGAGGGATTGGCAGAGGGGGGTGGCGGATACGGAGCGGTTTGTGAGGTGGATGAGTCTGGCCACAGTATTCAAGATGGACTGAAGTGGGGATAGCCTGTGGTGAGGTAAGGGAGTTACAGTAGTCAATAGAGATGAGCGAATCGAACATGGCGAAGTGGAATTCGTTTAGAATATTGGGAAATATTCGATTCGCGCCGAATCCGAAAATTAGCCAACTTCGGATGCACGAATCGAATTTTCCCAAAAATGGCGGCGACATGTGTGGCGACGGAGCGGGGATCTCTGGGAAGGCGCGCAGACAAGGCACGCTGACCCATAATGCATTCATTCATGACATGTGATCGCATTAGCCAATCAGCAGCCAGCCAGCCAGCACTGTGTAATGGTGGAGCTATAAATTGTGGCCATCTTACAATTCTCCATTAGCCTCCGGTCATTCAAGAGAGACAGACCTGTCTGTATTAGGGACAGAGTTAGGGCCAGAGAGACTTTAGGGCCACAGAATCGTTACTTAGGGACACAGAATCGTTACTTAGGGACACAGAATCGTTTCTCAGGGACACAGAATTGTTACTCAGGGACACAGAATTGTTACTCAGGGACAGACACAGAATTGTTACTGAGGGACACAGAATTGTTACTGACAGAATTGTTACAGGGACACAGAATTGTTACTCAGGGACACAGAATTGTTACTCAGGGACACAGAATTGTTACTCAGGGACAGACACAGAATTGTTACTGAGGGACACAGAATTGTTGCTGAGGGACACAGAATTGTTACTGAGGGACACAGAATTGTTACTCAGGGACACAGAATTGTTACTCAGGGACAGACACAGAATTGTTACTGAGGGACACAGAATTGTTGCTGAGGGACACAGAACTCAGGGTTGTTACTGAGGGACACAGAATTGTTACTCAGGGACACAGAATTGTTACTCAGGGACAGAGAATTGTTACTGAGGGACACAGAATTGTTACTCAGGGACAGACACAGAATTTTACTCAGGGACACAGAATTGTTACTCAGGGACACAGAATTGTTACTCAGGGACACAGAATTGTTACTGAGGGACACAGAATTGTTACTCAGGGACACAGAATTGTTACTCAGGGACAGACACAGAATTGTTACTCAGGGACACAGAATTGTTACTCAGGGACACAGAATTGTTATTGAGGGACACAGAATTGTTACTCAGGGACAGACACAGAATTGTTACTCAGGGACACAGGGTTACACACAGAATTGTTACTCAGAGGACACAGAATTGTTACTCAGGGACACAGAATTGTTACTCAGGGACAGACACAGAATTGTTACTCAGGGACACAGAATTGTTACTCAGGGACACAGAATTGTTACTCAGGGACACGGGACACAGAATTGTTACTCAGGGACACAGAATTGTTACTCAGGGACAGACACAGAATTGTTACTCAGGGACACAGAATTGTTACTCAGGGACACAGAATTGTTACTGAGGGACACAGAATCGTTACTGAGGGACACAGAATTGTTACTCAGGGACACAGAATTGTTACTCAGGGACACAGAATTGTTACTGAGGGACACAGAATCGTTACTGAGGGACACAGAATTGTTACTCAGGGACACAGAATTGTTACTCAGGGAAACAGAATCGTTGAATTAAAGAGTATGTCAGACAACACGCAGAGGAGTGGCAGAGGAGGCAATGTTTCAGGAGCGAGCAGACGTGGCAGCAGAGGAAGGGGTCGAGGCAGCACTAGTCGCAGCCAGAGGCCAGTGCTCCCGGTGTCATCCAGCGGTCGTGTCTCCACCGACAACCCTGCCGTCATCGATTGGTTGGCTCGGTCGTCTTCCTCTTCCCAGGTCACCTCTGACACCTACAGCCAACGGTCGGTGGGTACGTCAGACACAACCGTTAGTTGGCATGGCCCGGGAGCAAGCCCACTGAAATCACGTGTCCTCTACCTGCCCATGTCCTTTGGTGTTCCCTCACCAAGCGAAGTATCGCATGCTGTGGGCTCAGCCCCACTGTATAGTGAGGAAGAGCTAACAGAGGGCGGTCAGGAACGGGGGGAGACATCCGCCTCTTCAGCAGCCAGGCGAAGAAGTACTGGCGAGGAGAGTGGCTCGGTAGCCGGTCTAGAGACAGGTCTGTCTCCTGACCCACACGCAGCCGAGGGGGCTAGTAGTGAGGCAGAGACCCTAATTGATGATGATGAGGCTGATCGCACTTGGCAGCCTCGTCGTCATCTGCCAGGCCCGTAATCTGCCATGGGCCCCCGTACCGACTCCTCATGCTGCTGCCAGGCCCGTAATCTGTCATGGGCCCCTGTACCGCCTCCTCATGCTGCTGCCAGGTCCAGAGTGTCTCATGGGTCCCTGTACGGCCTCCCATTGCTGCTGTCTCCATCACCACACTCTGCCATGTGCCACTTTCAGGTCTCCTCACACTGCTGGTGGGTTCCATTTTGTCATAGGGTGCTGGCAGATTACGGGCCTCCCATTGCTGCTGCCAGGCCCCGTAATCTGTCATGGGCCCCTGTACCGCCTCCTCATGCTGCTGCCAGGTCCAGAGTGTGTCATGGGTCCCTGTACGGCCTCTCCCATTGCTGCTGCTGTCTCCATCGCCACACTCTGCCATGTGCCACTTTCAGGTCTCCTCACACTGCTGGTGGGTTCCATTTTGTCATAGGGTGCTGGCAGATTACGGGCCTCCCATTGCTGCTGCCAGGCCCCCGTAATCTGTCATGGGCCCCTGTACCGCCTCCTCATGCTGCTGCCAGGTCCAGAGTGTGTCATGGGTCCCTGTACGGCCTCCCATTGCTGCTGTCTCCATCGCCACACTCTGCCATGTGCCACTTTCAGGTCTCCTCACACTGCTGGTGGGTTCCATTTTGTCATAGGGTGCTGGCAGATTACGGGCCTCCCATTGCTGCTGCCAGGCCCGTAATCTGCCATGGGCCCCTGTACCGCCTCCTCATGCTGCTGCCAGGTCCAGAGTGTGTCATGGGTCCCTGTACCGCCTCCTCATGCTGCTGCCAGGTCCAGAGTGTCTCATGGGTCCCTGTACGGCCTCCCATTGCTGCTGTCTCCATCGCCACACTCTGCCATGTGCCACTTTCAGGTCTCCTCACACTGCTGGTGGGTTCCATTTTGTCATAGGGTGCTGGCAGATTACGGGCCTCCCATTGCTGCTGCCAGGCCCGTAATCTGTCATGGGCCCCTGTACCGCCTCCTCATGCTGCTGCCAGGTCCAGAGTATGTCATGGGTCCCTGTACCACCTCCTCATGCTGCTGCCAGGTCCAGAGTGTCTCATGGGTCCCTGTACGGCCTCCCATTGCTGCTGTCTCCATCGCCACACTCTCTGCTATGTGCCACTTTCAGGTCTCCTCACACTGCTGGTGGGTTCCATTTTGTCATAGGGTGCTGGCAGATTACGGGCCTCCCATTGCTGCTGCCAGGCCCATAATCTGTCATGGGGGCCCCTGTACCGCCTCCTCATGCTGCTGCCAGGTCCAGAGTGTGTCATGGGTCCCTGTACGGCCTCCCATTGCTGCTGTCTCCATCGCCACACTCTGCCCTGTGCCACTTTCAGGTCTCCTCACACTGCTGGTGGGTTCCATTTTGTCATAGGGTGCTGGCAGAATACGGGCCTCCCATTGCTGCTGCCAGGCCCGTAATCTGCCATGGGCCCCCGAACCGACTCCTCATGCTGCTGCCAGGCCCGTAATCTGTCATGGGCCCCTGTACCGCCTCCTCATGCTGCTGCCAGGTCCAGAGTGTCTCATGGGTCCCTGTACGGCCTCCCATTGCTGCTGTCTCCATCGCCACACTCTGCCATGTGCCACTTTCAGGTCTCCTCACACTGCTGGTGGGTTCCATTTTGTCATAGGGTGCTGGCAGATTACGGGCCTCTCATTGCTGCTGCCAGGCCCGTAATCTGCCATGGGCCCCCGTACCGCCTCCTCATGCTGCTGCCAGGTCCAGAGTGTCTCATGGGTCCCTGTACGGCCTCCCATTGCTGCTGTCTCCATCGCCACACTCTGCCATGTGCCACTTTCAGGTCTCCTCACACTGCTGGTGGGTTCCATTTTGTCATAGGGTGCTGGCAGATTACGGGCCTCCCATTGCTGCTGCCAGGCCCGTAATCTGCCATGGGCCCCCGTACCGCCTCCTCATGCTGCTGCCAGGTCCAGAGTGTCTCATGGGTCCCTGTACGGCCTCCCATTGCTGCTGTCTCCATCGCCACACTCTGCCATGTGCCACTTTCAGGTCTCCTCACACTGCTGGTGGGTTCCATTTTGTCATAGGGTGCTGGCAGATTACGGGCCTCCCATTGCTGCTGCCAGGCCCGTAATCTGCCATGGGCCCCCATACCGACTCCTCATGCTGCTGCCAGGCCCGTAATCTGTCATGGGCCCCTGTACCGCCTCCTCATGCTGCTGCCAGGTCCAGAGTGTCTCATGGGTCCCTGTACGGCCTCCCATTGCTGCTGTCTCCATCGCCACACTCTGCCATGTGCCACTTTCAGGTCTCCTCACACTGCTGGTGGGTTCCATTTTGTCATAGGGTGCTGGCAGATTACAGGGCCTCCCATTGCTGCTGCCAGGCCCGTAATCTGCCATGGGCCCCCGTACCGCCTCCTCATGCTGCTGCCAGGTCCAGAGTGTCTCATGGGTCCCTGTACAGCCTCCCATTGCTGCTGTCTCCATCGCCACACTCTGCCATGTGCCACTTTCAGGTCTCCTCACACTGCTGGTGGGTTCCATTTTGTCATAGGGTGCTGTATGGCCTCCCATTGCTGCTGCCTCCACCGCCACACTGTGGCTCCACACTCTGGTTTTGGCCCCGTGACTGCCCAAATGAGTGAAGTGTGCGGTGATTCTAAGATCGACGGCACTCATCTGCATGTCATACTGACTGACAGTATTATTTCTCTTCCCCAGCAGACTCCAAGGGCATTTAAATTAAAGGTACAGTGTTCTGCACGAATATAAAGGCTCTCTGAAGCCTAGAAACACCCTTTGTATAAGTTAAATTCGCAGCGAATATATTCGACTCGAATCAAATTTATTCAGCGAATTCGCCGAATCAGCCGAATCGAATTTTTGAATACTTCACTCATCTCTAGTAGTCAAGTCGTGAAATAATAAGGGAGTGAATGTGTTGCTTGGGGGTTTCCGGGGTTAGGAACGGACGTATTTTGGAGATGTTGTGGAGGTGAAGTCTACATGAGTTAGTCAGCGAATGGACTTGGGGCTGGAAGTACAGATTGGAGTCTAGGATGACACCTAGTACTCTGGCTTGAGGGGAGGGACTGATGGTGGAGTTGTTGGTCTTGATGGAGAAGTCGGGGGGGGGGCGCGGGCTGGGGGGAAAACTAGAAGCTCAGTTTTAGAGAGATTTAGTTTGAGGAAGTGGAGTGACATCCAATCCGATATGTCGCTCAATAGCCTTGTGATACGGGTGGAGACTTCAGGGGTGAGGTGAGGGGTAGAGAGATAGATTTGTGTGTCGTCGGCGTAGAGATGGTAGTTGAATCCGTGAGAGTGTATCAATTGGCCAAGGGAGGAGGTGTAGATGGAGAAGAGAAGGGGCCCAAGGACAGAGCCTTGAGGGACCCCGACAGAGAGGGGGAGTGAAGAGGAGGTGATATTGTTATAGGTAACGCTGAAGGAGTGCTGTGATAGATAGGAAGAGAGCGAAGAGAGAGCAGAGTTTCTGAGACTTTTGGTATGGTCAGTCTGCCAGGGTTGTAGCGGTCGGGGTCTAACACTTTGTGTTGTTGGGGGTGCTAGCGAGTCTAGGGCAGCTGATAGCGAGTTGTTATAAACAGTAGTGGCCAGGTCAGGTCAGGACAGGACAGGGGAAGGATAGTGTCGTAGAGTTGGTCAGCTGCAGAGTGGAAAGGGGCAGGGTTCAAGTTGTGGAGGTCTCTGCTGGTGATAGTATGAAGTTTGGAGGGATAGGTGTTTGAGGACGAGGAGACAGAGAAGGTAATGAGGTTGTGATCAGAGAGAGGAAAGGGGGTGTTAGTGAGGTTGTGGGGAGTGCAGAGATGGGAGAAGACAAGGTCCAGGGTGTTCCCGTCGGAGTGGGTGGTGGACTGTATACACTGTGTGAGTGCAAAAGAAGAGGTTAAGTGGAGGAGTTGGGAAGTAGTCGGGTTATTGTTGTTGATAGGGATGTTGAAGTCTCCAAAGGATGATGGTGGGTAACTCGGAGGAGAGAAAGAAGGGAAGCCAGGCGGAGACGTCGTCGATAAAACGTGACACGGGGCCAGGAGGCTGACAGATTACTGCAATCCTCAGAGAGATTGGAGAGAATAGCCAGATGCAGTGGGCCTCAAAAGAGGAGAAGGATAGAGAGGGAGGGTTTGGGAGGACTTGGAAGGTGCTCTGCAGTGACAGGAGCAAACCAACCCCACCACCTTTTCGACCGCAGGGTCTGGGTGAGTGGGTCCAGATGAGACCTCCATAGGAGAGAGCCGCAGGGGAGGTAGAGTCAGGGGCTTGGATCCAGGTTTCGGTGATCGCAAGGAGGTGAAGGGAGCGGGAGACAAAGAGGTTGTGGATGGCGGAGAGTTTGTTGAAAACCGATCAGGCATTCAGGAGTGCACATGAAAACGGGAAGGTGGTTTTGGGGAGCAAAGGGACAGGTATTAGATTGTGGGGGTTGCGACAGTTCGTGGAAGTAAGTGGGTGCCTTGTGTGTGGGCGTGGCGGTGGAGGACCAGGGTTTGGGGAGATGTCCCCAGCGGTTAGGAGAAAAAGAAGGGTGAGAAAGGTGGCATGGGAGCGGGATGTACAAGAACGCATGTGTCTGCCAATGGTGGTGTTCGGGTCAGTGGGAGAGTGGAGTATCAGGAGGAGTTGGTGAGAGCCATAGTAGGGGGATGCAAGCAGTGAAGGTGCGATGTAGAGTTGTTTGGGAGGAGCAGAGGGATATAGAGAGGAGATTCTGGGAACGGAGGAGAAGAGTATGGGAGGAGGAGTAAACGAGGCATTTTAGGAAGGTAAGCGGAGTAGCGGACAAGAGTGGTGGAGAGTTTCTCAAGGGGCTTGGTTGATTGTAGTAATGTATCTCGTTGTTATAACTTCCTGCAGCTAGAGTTCTTGTGTTTAGGTTCAGGATGGGTTGAGATCAGTAGGATAAGGTGTGGCCAAGGGTAGTGCTGGGCCCAGGGGATCCGTGGTGCCTGGCGCCGGTGTAGGGGGGGTAGTAGCAAGTGTAGGGGGGTAGTAGCAAGGTTGTGATCAGGCTACAAGTTCCAGTTTGTGCAAGTCCCAGAATGTGGGGTGAGGTTTGGCTTGAGGAGATGAGGGGTGGACGTCAGTAGTGGAAGTGTTTCCCAGGTGGTGGAGATGAGATTTGGAGAAGGTAGTGAGGGGTGGGCATCCGGGGGGGTAAACAGATGGCTCTCGGGTCCAGGCCGGATCGTCTGATGGGTTCAGGTGGAAGTAGGCCCGCTTCGGTTCCCTCTTTCTGGTGTGGGTAGGGATGTGGGGCGCGAGGTTCCGTTAGGCTGCAGACTCGCTGATGGTCGGTTGGGAGATGTGGGGGTGTGCTGAGGTGGGCAGTGATGGTTCTTTTAGGCTGCGATGGTTCTTTTATGCTGCAGGCTGGGGGTTCGTAGCTGCTTGAACATCAGGGAGAGTGTGCTGTGGTAGGTTGCTGGCTCAGTGTTACTTGGGCTTCAGGGGGAGTGTGCTGTGGTAGCTTGCAGGCTGAGAGTTGCTTGGGCTTCAGGGGGAGTGTCCTGTGGTAGGTTGCAGACTAAGTGTTGCTCAGGTTTCAGGGGGAGTGTGCTGTGGTAGGCCGCAGCAGGCCCTGCCAGGCCGGGTGCTGGAGTGGAAGGCCGCAGCAGGCCCTGCCAGGCCGGGGGCTGGAGTTGCCACGGAGGGGGAGCCTAGGTGACACAGCTCCCTTCCTCCAGGTATAGGTGGGGTTTTTGAGGTCGCTGCTGTGTTGGTGGGAGTGGGCCGACAGGCGGCCGTATGGCCGTGTGGATCTGGGGCCCTGTGCTTACTTGCTTGTTGTAGGCCACGGCAGGCCCTGTCAGTGTTGGGCGCTACGGCGGAGCTTCGGAGTGTGCTGCTGGTGGGTCAGGGAGGTTCCAAGCTGCTGATGGGTCAGGAAGGTCATGGAGGCCGTCAATGCCCGCCCTCATGCGCTGCTCGGCCGGCCAGCCACAATCCAGGGCCTGGCGAACTCCGATGCCGCAGGCCGCGGCAGGCACCGCTTGTCAGGTGCCACCACGGAGCTCTGGATAGCGTAGTGGGGGGGCTCCGGCGGCACCGCTCCCCCCTCTCCAGGTGCAGGGAGGGTCGGGGGGATCCCCGGTGGCCGGCGTCCGCCCACTGGTCCCGGTGGGTGGCGTGGGGGATGTAGGCGGCCAGAGCTCAGGACTGCACTGCTAGTCAGGCGCCATGGCGGAGCAGTGTATATATATACACACAGTATATATATATACACTGTATGTTGAAATGCGTTTTTATTACAAAATATATGTCTTTAAAAATACATATTAAAAATATATATTAAAATTACTTTTTTATATGTTAAAAAAATCTGAAGAATATATTTAAAAAAAATATATATTTAAAAATATATTTTTTTAAATATATTTTTTCACATTTTGTTTTAACATATAAAAAAAAGGCATTTTAACATATATTTTTTTTTGCATATATTTGTAAATGCGTTCCAATTTTTTTTTTAAAGACATACAGTATATTCATTTCAACATACAGTGTTTATATATATATATAT